TTTTTTTTTCTTTTGTCAATTCATTAATAGTTGCTTAACTACAACATGCTTGAACGCAATAAATATAAAGATGAATTTTTATTCTTTTGATGACTATCTTAAAAACAACTATTATAGATTTTTGTTTTAACTTCTCCTAAAAAAATATTTTGAATTTATTATACATATTCAATCACAAAATATTAATACTAACTCAATATCTCTACGATACACAGCATTTTGAAACACAATAACAGCCCATTGACGTGGAGCATTAGCAGGCTTTAAAAATATTTTACTACTTGAATCTCGAGGAACGGAAAGCCGCCAACTAAGGTCGCCATCTGAACTAGGTTCAACTTTAGTATTGCTATAAACGATAGCTGGTGGGTAGTGAACAACAGCATTTGTTATGCATGGCTTATTGATTACACGGATCTAAATTTGAAAACTGATATCAATAGAAACATTGTAAATTGTAATTTAAAATGAGATTATAATCAAATGAAGATGAATGAAAATGACAAAAATATAAAAACTACTTATGCATGATAAATGAGTTACTTAACACTAACAAAAGTGATCTAGCATAAAAACTAATAACTCTTACTCCTAAAACACGAAGGTATGGATTTTCGTCATGAATATTTGCACGTAAGCACTGAATTTTATTTTGCTCTTTCAGGCTTGCAGGCACTAATCGACAATTCCGTATAAGTTCATCATCCTTAAAACAAATTTATGTATAATAAACTATACTAGCCTATTAACAAATAAATATTCTTCTACATCATTTTATTAATAGTCTAAATATGAGTACTCAATGCATAATAACACTCGTCATGATTACTTTAGTTAATTACTTTGTTTAAAAATTTTTCAAAAAATGATGCTTATGTAAGATTTTAATTAGATAGAAAAGTTATGTACTAGGTACTTTAGAATATGCAATACAATACTCAAATAAACTTCTGTTCATACTTTAAAACATTTGCATCCAACATGCTTTGCTGCAAACTTTTTTCTTTTTTTTTTTTTTTTT